GCATCACGGTGGTTCCCAAGGAGATGAAAATGGCCAATACTCTGGAACTAAGGTCAACTGAAGAATACGGGTCAATTGTGAAGCACATACTGAAGAAAAAGGATGTACTGCAATTGACCTGAAGGGCTTCAAGCGGAAATGGAATTTGGCAGCCAAACAAGAGGGAACAGCTCCCTTTTTAAGTGACGAACCAGCCAGTGGCTGAAAGTCACTCCAATAAAGAAAAAAAAAGTGGGAACAGGGCTCGTGCTAAAGATGATGGGCCGTGTACGAAGAAAAGTTTGAGCAATGGTCTACACAGCAAAAAAAAATTATTATTACATCCAAGAGGATGCACTTCAATCATGTCGAAAATCTCATGTAATTTTTAGGGCCACAAAAATAAACAAATGCAGTAAAAGTAGCGTATTGTCAGTTTATGCACTGTATTAATGATAATTTTGTCCTTTTTGGCAAGTAATATTGCACCATGTTTTTGACACGATTGAAGTGCTTCCACTTTAATGTTATATCAAAATATTTTTTTGCTGTGTATGGTAAGAAGGAAGACTGAAACAATGGTCTAACAATAAGCATAAAACCTACTAAAGGGTTATACGGTCAAAATTTGGTCAATATCAACTTGACGTATTTCTTTCAATTTTGCATTTAAAAAACCTGAACACCCCTCATTTTGAAGGTGTGTGTGTGTAGAATGTTGCTCCTATTTTGATTTTGGAATTCACTCTTCAGTTGTCAAAATGCCGTCCAAGCAAGAAGAGCAGCGTATCAAAATTTTGCTCGCGCATCGCGAAAATCCGAGCTACTCGCACGCAAAGTTGGATAAATCGCTAAAAGTTGCCAAATCAACCGTTACAAATGTAATTAAAATGTTTGGGGAACGTTTGTCGACAGCCAGGAAGTCTGGATCGGGGGGAAATCGAAAACCGGAAGCCGCTGAGACGACAAAGAGAGTTGCCGGTAGTTTCAAGCGAAACCCTAACCTCTCTCTCCGAGATGCCGCAAATAAGCTGGGTGTATCGTCTACAACCGTGCATCGAGCCAAAAAACGAGCCGGACTATCGACTTACAAGAAGGTAGTGACTCCAAATCGCGATGATAAACAAAATACGACGGCCAAAGCGCGATCCCGGAGGCTGTACACGACGATGCTGACGAAGTTTGACTGCGTGGTAATGGACGACGAAACCTACGTCAAAGCCGACTACAAGCAGCTTCCGGGACAGGAGTTTTATACGGCAAAAGGAAGGGGAAAGGTAGCAGATGTTTTCAAGCACATGAAACTGTCAAAGTTCGCAAAGAAATATCTGGTTTGGCAAGCCATCTGTACCTGTGGCTTGAAAAGCAGCATTTTCATAGCTTCCGGGACTGTCAACCACGAAATTTACGTGAAAGAGTGTTTGAATAAACGTCTGCTGCCTTTCCTGAAGAAACACGGTTGTTCCGTACTGTTTTGGCCGGATTTGGCATCTTGCCATTACGGTAAAAAGCCCATGGAGTGGTACGCCGCCAACAACGTGCAGGTGGTTCCCAAGGACAAGAACCCTCCCAACACGCCAGAGCTCCGCCCAATTGAGAAATACTGGGCTATTGTCAAGCGGAACCTAAAGAAGACCAAAAAAACTGCTAAGGGCGAGCAGCAGTTCAAGGCAAACTGGCTTTCTGCGGCGAAGAAGGTGGACAAGGTGGCTGTACAAAATCTGATGGCAGGGGTCAAGCGTAAGGCCCGGCAATTCGGATTTGGAAAAGCGGAAGCCTAACTGAATATTTTTCCTGAATTTTATACTAATTGAACTTGAAAAAGAAATTTAATTTGATTTTTTAAATAAACGATTTCACCGATTTACACGCGTTTTCCCTTGACCAAATTTTGACCGTATCACCCTTTAATGTATAGCTGTTACATTGAACTATGAAAAATAAAACGCATTTTTAAACCCCAACAATATTTTCGTGTCCGGATTTTTTCATGTTCAACCTTTATAAGTAAAAGGCTGATCTGCCAAATTTCGTCTTCATTGGGAACTTATATTCCAAAGAATTTTAAAGTATTCCTTTGTTATCACTCCGGAGGATGATTGTGCTACATTTCCCCGAATGTCACTTCCCCGAACGCCATTTCCCCGAATACCTATTTCCCCGAATGCCATATCCCCGAAAAAAAAGTTAGGAAATTTCCAACCGTTATTGCTAGCAATTTTCTTACTATATTTTGAGCATAGTAAGCAGATTGCAAACAAGAATAAATTTCAAGCCATGCAAATGGAAGGTTTATGAGATTAACCCAACTACCAATTAATTTGCTTCGAGTAGCTAGAAACGCATTGCCAAAGCACATGATGCTCACTATGTCCCTCTTTCCCCTATATTATTGTATTGAGCCGTTAAAAGCATTTTCATTTTTATACATAGAATAATAATCCAAGATCACAAAAAAACAGACAAAAACCAAAAACCACAAAAAATTTGGCAAAATATCGTCGGTTTGACAAATTGGTTATCAATTTTAAGGAGTTTTGCCTTCTTTTTTTTACGAGCAATTCTTTCGAGAACTTTGGAAAAACATGAGAGATCAATGGTTTGACAAAATGATAAAATATTTTTATTCCTACTTTTTTACATAAGGAGTTCTTTCGGGAAATTTAGCAAAACTTGTTTCGGAAATTATTGCAACCAAATTGCAACAGGTGACAGTAATAAACAAAAGTTATGGCGATTTGTTTTGTACGCAGAAAACCGGAGAATGTTTATTTTATTAAATTAGAGCCTTTTTCTTGGCCTTCTAAAAAAAAAATTGGTACAGAAGGTGGCTTATATTATGGCGCAACACCCCTACCAAATATTTTTTCTCGTTTCGCTTCCACAAACGAAAATTTAATAAAAATGTTGAAATCTGCATTCATTATTTTTCGGTTTAACTTTTCGTCCATAGAAGGTGGCGCTATGCTGTCAGTAGTTGTGAGTGTAAAACTCACAGCATTCCTCGATTCATTTGTCAAATCATATATCTCACAAGTTTTGCCAAATTCCTCGATTTGAATTTATAAAAAAAAGAAAAAATCTCGTAAAACTATGTTACCAATTTTTAATCCATCGTCCTCACATATTGTCTAAGTTCTCGGAAGATTGCTCGTTTATAAAAGAGGGAAAAATTTCCTCAAAATACATTACCAATTTTTCAAACCGTCAATCTCACAAGTTTTGAGAAAGTTTTCGAAAAAACATTTATAAAAGAAGGATAAAATACGTCTACGGCTGAAAATCTCCTAAATTAATTTAAAAAGAAGGGAAAATCTCCTAAAAATGTTTTACCAATCTGTCAAATCATCGATATTAGTTTTGCCAAAGTTCTCGAAAGAATTGCTCATGTATAAAATAAGGGAAAATGTCCTAAAAATATATTACCAATTTTTACACTTCCTTTTCTGGTACTGCCGCCGCCTCACTAAAACTTTCGCCCCATTGATTTACTTTGATCAGAGATTTGCCCTTCTTTTAATCATGAGCTGTTCTTTTAAGGTTAATTGTTGCAATATTCAAAGATGTCTTCTTAACGCTCGCGAAACCAACCTTAGAAATGTAATACAGTCAAAGTATTTTATATATTTTTGGATTTCATTCGAGGAAATTACATTCGGGAAATAGAATTCGGGGAAATGGGGTCTGGGATTCGGGGAAATGGCGTTCGGGAAAGTGACATTCGGGGAAACGACATTCGGGGAAATGTAGCACAATCCCGGAGGATATGTCCATAGTAGTTAAGACAAATTTGCCTGATTTTATTATTGATCGTTACTGCCTTTAAGCCATTTTGGTGTAACATGCAATTTTTGGTTTTTCTACTTCGTTGTTGTTTGCAGGCATTTTCTCGGGTGTGTATGTGTTCTGAGTTCGGTTCAAGGTTGCTGCGAGGTATAATCTGATCATCGCATCATTTTTCGACTACTTTACATTTCATCACGATTGTCATCGTCTAGGCTCAGTTGTTTTGAAAATCAAAGCATATCCAGAACAACATGTGAAAAGGGCATACAAGCTTTTTGTAAACAAACCTTCTTACGCCCTTTTCTCGCCACCCATATGACACCAACGCAAACCATCAACATCACCGGGTAGGGGAAACTTTCCCCTTCCCGATGATATTGTTGGTTTACATGGCCGAGCCTCGGTTGGTGAGAAAAGGGCCTACAAAGGTTTGTTTACAAAAAGCTTGTATGCCCTTTTCACATGTGGCTCTTGATATGGTTTTCCATTCGTCGTCATGACTCATGAGTTTGTGTTTTTTTTTCAGCATTGTGGCTACCATCATAGAATAGCGAAATAAAAGAAATGATCACACAGAGGGTTTCACCTCGTTCTGAAATTACTGATTTACCATTAATGGTAAATTGTTCGATACAAAAGTGTTTATCTATTTTGCTGTATTGATAAATATCAAACAATTCTATGCATGGTTGTTAATCGATAATGTTTGCAATGCAAATTCACCATTGCAGACGATAACGCTGATGTTATCGACGGTTATCGATTAAAAACCCTGTATGTAACACTGGTATTTTAAAACATGCTGTCAGTTTTGTTGTTCAGCAATATTGAAATTAAATCCTGTCGACAAATATCAATCATTTGATCATAATTTGGTTGCCAAAAATTTAGCAAAATCCGACCTACAGTCGCCTTACTGCATACTAATGCCAATACAGGATGGATGATTTTGTATCTAACTTAAGGCGTATTACGAGCAGTGGGCTGAAATGTTATTTGATTGTAATAAAATGTCAAAGCATATAAAATGACGACGTAGCACCGAACAGTGAATTGAACTTTTTATCGCATAAAGCTTTGGCATTGAAGTTTTATTTTTTTATTTTAAACTTTAACTAGGCAGTTTTACATACGCTCACATTGAAACTCTACATCAAGGTTAATTTCAACATAAACATGGCAACTTTCAATTTATTAATCAATAAATTTGCTTTCCCACTGTAAAAACGGTCAACTACGCTTGCTGCACTGTCCGCCAGCAAACAATAATTTATCTGGTTTTAAAAGTATATTTTAATTATGAACTTATACGCCACTAATACCTACTAATAATTAGCACAAGACAAGTTAGAAATCGGTTTCCGGGCTCATCGGTCGTCCGTATCTGTTCTTCGTGCGTGGAAATCCTATTCCATCGGGACTACTAATCACACTGGGCTGAGGGGATTCCAAATTCCTTGATCCATTGGCTGCGCCAAATGTTGTTAGGTTCGTGCCTGAGTAGTCCCTTAAATTTGGCAACGGTCCGTTAGATTTCTGTAACCGATCATCTTCGAAATCCGTATCATCATCGTCGTCGTCATCCGTCTTGTTCTGTGGAAAACTGCTAGCCGATCGATAGTCCAAATTGTCCTCCAAATCACTGGAAGCCTTTCGTGTTGGCAGTTGTCGAATCACTTGAGCGTAAGAATTAGTAGATGGTCCAGCAATGGGCGACACCGATCGGTGCATTGTGGGGTAATTATCTTGCGTATTTTGAATAGTTCGTAAGACGGGTGAATCTTGTGCTGGAATGGTTGACGCTTGCATTAGACTGTTGGATTGAGCAGCTGGGTCCGATTCTCGTTGAGCATCTGGTGCTTGATAGAAAGCGTACGGTTGCGCTGCCGTTTCGGGAGAGGTAGTTTGTCGGGAACTTGTGCGTGCTTGTTGCGACATGAGGCGCATCTCAACGGGGCTGTTAGTATGTAGATTAAAGTTTATTATTTAAATTGCACCAGTTTGCAATTATGGGGATTTACCTGTAGGCATCATCTGGATCGTTACCGTATAGAGCCAGATCCCGAACGAAGTAGAATACCAAGATCTCGAAAAGCACACCAATCGCAATTAACGAAGCGGTGAGAATGTTTAATGTAGTTCCGAAAAATGGATTTTCATGAATAAAACATCTTCGCTGGTCGGAAGACCAAAACTGACAGGCATTTACTGCAAAACAAACAAGATGAATTTATTGAAAAAAGCTTAGAGGTCTGCAGTGGTTATACTCACAAGCGATAGCCTGATAGGCAGCTGTTCCGGGAAGATAGGCAACCAACCCAACTAGGGTCATCTCTACCGAGAGTGCCAGTGCCTTATCCTGAGGTAGAACCGTACGAATCGAAATGATCAATTTACCGATCAATGCGGAAGCTAACAGTGCAGAAACAACCACACTCAGCACCTGAAAGATAATCCAATATTTCTGGCAGTCGCCCATTCCACAAGATCCTTCAGTTGCGATTCCACCTTCTATGAGTACCAGCTCCGTATCTATTCCACAGGAGCAATGCGTGTAAACAGTCACATCGTTGATTTCGGTTCGATTCTGGCAGCCCGCGTGACACGGAGAAAAGTATGTGAATACGCTGTCCTGGGGACAAACCGGAGAAAATGGGACATTCTCCGGGCAGATACAGTTAGACGCACAGAATGGCTTTGTCAATCTGCCTCGATAGGCACCGGCGATCCGTTCGTTGTCGCATGAGAGAAAAATAAATGCTGCAAATGATTGATGAAAGCGAGTTAACATTACACGGGTGCGGTTTTTTTTTAATAAATCACTAAGCAGAGCTTACCGACAAATAGCCCGACGGCGATTATACCAACAAAGATATTCCAGGCAGCAATTTTTCTATATAGAAAAGAAGAAAAGGTCAATCAGTCAATTGGTATTCAATTAATGTTGCACAAACACGGAGGAGCGATTCTATTAGTGCTGTTTGCAGTATTAAGACTGTGACTAATCCATTCAAGGGTTAAAGTGTTCTGAAGTGGGGACAGCCTCCAGAGTTTATGAAATCCTAGAACTATCTAGTTTGCAATCAGTGAATGTCAGTTATATGTTCAACTAATGCAGCAGCTAAATGTGTATTCATTGTACTGAAACATTTTAATGTATGCTTAATGGTAAACTTTTTTTTGTATCAAGTGTCAGGCATTAAAACCAAACCTCGTGCAGTGTCAAAGCCAACATTTTTAACGACTGTCGGATTTGGATTAAGCTCTACACATGTTTTCCGCAGGCAAGATCTTGTGTTTTCCACAGATCAAGACACCATTTCATCAGTACCGTACCCTTTTTTGAGTACGGGTATTTCTGTTATGAGAGAATCAGTACCGGTACTTCTTTATACTTCACATATTTCTTTAAATTTGAATACCCCAAAAAAATTCAAGCGACTATAACAAAGAAATAATTTATTTATTCAATCTCCTGAACAGGCATGGAAAATCATTTGCATTCATTTCGTGCATTCATTTACATTCATTTGCCCCTAACTTTTTTCATCAATATAATTCCGCAAAATGATGTATTGAGCTTTTGTAGATTTTGTTATTAGCTACAAGTTTTACAAATCCGTATCTCTTATGCATGACGAACCGTTCGCTCTGGAAGCCACTACTGTTTTTTAGTGAATGTATTTTACATTCACTGAAAAACAGTAACAAGTTCTGCCCGCTTCGTGATGCATAAGAGATACAGATTTGAGCTGTGAACAAAAGTTGTAGTTAATAACAAAACCTACTAAAGCTCCAGACATCATTTTGCAGAATGCTGTTGATGAAAATTTTTAGAGGCAAATGAATGTAAATGTATGCATGAAATGAATGTAAATGATTTTCCATGCCTGCTCCTGAATATCCTATTATCCTGATTATTTAATTTTAGATTAGATTAGATTTCTTTATTAAAGAGACTTCCAGCCGTATTTAATTATGAAAAAATGCGAAGTAAATTCAACGCATCGTCTCTAATATGAAATGAATAGGGGAAATGTCCCTAATTTGGGCCCATACATAAATTCAGCAATCGACTAAATTTTTAATAGCGACCAAAAATTCATCTAGATAAAATTGATAAATAGCAGATTTTTAGCTATGGGCCCAATCTTAGATCCATAGGCCAACATTAGAGCCTTTTCCCCTACTAGTCACGAAACTTCCATACACAGAAAAATACTAACAGTGTTTTTTTTTTTTTCCTTTGGTTTGTTTTTTCCGTCGATCTTGTTTTCCGTGCTGAGCTACCGACGTGCCAGGAAGGCAGCTCCCACACCTGGACCCTACCTATCGACCCATCAACTCATGAACCGGGGACCAACGGCTTTACTTCCCATCCGAAGGAAGGCGTGATCAGAGATGTTATGCCTCAGAACATCCCGGCGGCGCCGACTGGTATTGAACCCAGGCCTGCTGGGGTGAGAGGTAATCACGCTTACCACTACACCACCGGCGCCGTTACTAACAGTGTTGTCATGGTAACTCACTGATTTGGCTCATCGCAAATCCATGCACCCCCTTTAAGGAGCGTTCATAATCGAAATTAAGGGAACTAAAGTACTGATAAAATTTGTCTGTAATACTATTTTTTGGGTATTTGATTGTCAGTTTAACGGTGGATCAAAACGCTACGACTTGGACTTGACCTTCTTCTTCTTCTTCGCATTTCAAACTTATTGCATATTGCGTATTAGCTTATTGCGTGCTCTCAACTTAGTGTTCTAGATGCACTTCCACAGTTATTAATTGAGAGCTTTTGATGCCTGTACCATTTTTGCATTGGTATAATTGTGTGGCAAAGTCCAATCATACTTCTATTTCCAGGAAAGTCGAGAAATTTTCCAACCCGAAAAATTCCTAGAACGGACCGGGAATCGAACCCAGCCACCTCCAGCATGGTCTTGCTTTGTAGCTGCGCCTTTACCGACTGAGCTAAGGGAGGCCCCTTGGACGTGACCTTCTTCATGGAATATAAAATTGTAGCATTTTTGGTTCAGCGCAAAAAGTTTTACGAGCTACAAAAATTAGTCTTGAAGAAGATCCCAACCCCTGGATTCAAGACCTTTAAAAGTCCATGCATCTCTAAAGTTATTGGTACTGCCCTAAAAAAGTACAAGAAATGTCTCAAGATTTCCCTGAATTTATCTGAATATTTTAAAGTGCCCGCAATTTCCCTGAAGTTCATTAATCTATCCAGAATTTCCTAATTTTTTCTAAAGTTTTCAAAACTTAAAGTCATGGAAGATCCCTTAAAATCTTTAAACTTCCCTGAACTTCTTTAGACTTACTGGAAGGTTTCGTTCCTCCATGCCAATGTTTCCTAAATTATCAAGAAGCTCTCAGAAGGTCCTTAACGTTCCAACATTTTTCCTGATATTGAGGGATTTCCCCCAAAACCTCGGAATATTCCTGATTTTTTTTTAACATTCTTGAGGTTTTTGGAATTATCTATAATTTCTCTGAAAATCTTAAAAGTTCCCGCAATTAATTAAGTAAACTGCTTTAAAGATCTCTGATTATCCTTCAAATATTCTGAACATTCAAAAAAATAATGAAAGTTCCTAAACATCGAAAAACTTCTCTAAAGTTCTCAGGGCTGAAGTATCTGATTTTCTCCGATGTTCTTGGAGCTACTCGGAAGTTCGTGCAGTTCTCATGAAGTTCTACAACTGAAGATTTAACCTGAACATTTCTGGACTTTTGTTATGCTTCCAAAATATGTATAAAATTTTCTCAATGAACTTAAGTTTCTCGAAATTTTCCTAGAATTCATGGAGCTATCCTGAATTTATAGAAATTGTCCTTAACAGATCATTACACTTCCCAAAAAGTCTGGACTTTTCTGAAGTCACTGCCCTTAAGATCTTTGAGCTTATCTGAAGATCTCAAGAACAAGTTTGTCTGAGGTTCTTGAAATTTCTATTAAATATCCACAATTTCTACGGGCCTCATGACTTCCCTGCCGATCTTAGAACTTTTTAAACGTTCCTACAGTTTCTATGAAGCTGATGGAACCACTTTGATGTTCTCAAAGCTTCCTGGGCATTTAACATTTTATAGAAGATCTCAGGTTTTACCTTCAGTTTAAATTTTACCCGCAGTCTGTCCATGAAATTTTTCATTCCTCGAATTTTCCTTAAAGTTCTTAAAAAAAATATGAAAACTCTGAAGTTTTCTAATTAATCTTAAAGTTCTCGTTATTATACTGATGATGTTTCTGGATGCTCTGAAGTCAATTAAACGGTCCTCAAAATCTCTTAACATCCCGACGTTTTTTTTTACAGTAGGCAGTGTATTTATAGGAACTTCTGTGAAGTTTCAGAATTTTTTATTGAATTCTTTTAACCTCCCTGATGCTCCCTGAAAATGTATAATTTTTTTTAACCTCTTGAAATTTCTCGCTATTTTTCTAATGTCTTAAAATTTTCGAAATATATTGGAAGCTCGGGGAAGTTTCCGCAATTTTCCTATTTTTAACTACTATTTTGAAGTTCTCAGAACAGCCACAAAGTTCACGTAGTATTCCTTAGATGTTTTTAACAAATTAAAAATCTTCTGACAAATTCCTGTTTTTTTTTTTAATTTAATAGAATATCGTAAAATTCTCAAAACTATGTTTCGTGTAATTTTTCTGATGTTAAGAAGAAGCTTAAAAACCCGAAAAACTGCACTTTTTCTAAAAATATTGGAATAAAACATAGATTTTTTAAATTTTTCTAAACAAAATTTACGTTTAAAAACATTTTTTTCCAAGTTATTATGGCACATAGTTGGACTAACAGCAAAAATCAACTTGTCGATGATGTTTGGATTCAAATCATTTTTACTGATGAGATAGAAAAAATATGGTCGCATGTATTTTTTTTTAAGAATCCATTCCAGAAAATACAAGAAAGGCAGTTTTTCCTTAGATTCTTGAGAAAATTTACGTGCACAATATATTTTCTATCTCATCATCAAAACATTTCGACCCTAAACAAAATCGAGACATCGCTTTATACGATTTTTTGACTCCAACTTTTTGCCATGATGACTTTAAAAGAATGTATTTACACGTAAATCAAAAAGAAAAAGAAAAAACTGATGGTTTTAGATTTTTAATATCTTTTTCTAATATTTTTAGATATATCAAAACGCATTTTTTTTTCGGGCGATTGCGTCGTAACACAGAGTTTTCAGAATTTTCCTGAAATTTTCGGAAATTGTGTAAAGATCCTATAATTTTCCTGACCTTCATGTTACTCCCTAATTTTTTAAAGTTTTCTGGACATTGTTCTCGGAGCATCTGTAAAGTTTCAGCCTTTTTTAAATTATATTTAAATGAAAAATGCAACCCTGGGTAGTGTTGGTTACTACAAAAAATGAGCAAAATTCCACACAAATCGGAAACAATTATGTCTAACCGGTTTGCTATTTGGCGTTGAAATGCTCTATTCGACAATCGTTCAAGCCCGAGGGGGCGACTCTATGTATGATGTAAGAAAGATTTTTTTTTTGTAGTTAGCTGCCCGCACGCTGAGTACTTATAAAGAATGTTTATGAAGATTTTGAAGATTTCCTGCAAAAAGATGATGTTACCACCCACAACTGTTTTACATTTAAGATTAGCATTTTACAAATTATTGCACAATTTGCACTTTTATTAGGAAAAAAAATAACAGGCCGTGTATACAGTTTTTACGCGTATGTCAAATTTGTAACTTGATTGACACCCCCATAGAAGCTAAGGTGTCGTATGTAACATTGCACAGAGGTCCATAATGCAAATTTAGGTGGAATTATATGTTTTGAGTCTGAAATTGAAACTTAAGACTAAAAGTCTCTTCTACAAAGTTGTTCCTTATTTTTATG